CCTCCCTCCCTCCTTCCCTCCTTCCCTCCTTCCCTTTTTCTTTCTTTTTCAACCTCTGCATGGTGTTTCATTTAAGAATGCATTCTAATTTATTAACTTTTTCCCTAGCTGTGTCCTTTTTTCTTTTTTCCTATAATAAGTGTGAAGGATGTTGAGTGGGATTCCCACCCCACTCCCCATTGTCCCAAAACTGTTGCTGAGGCCCAAAGCTGGGGACAAAGCACTAAGTATTTCATGTTTGAAAGGGGTCAGCAGCAGTGAGAACCAGACCTTTCCCTTGGGGCTTATTGAAAGGCACTGTCCTGTTTACTGACCCACCTTCAGGCTGTGTACAAAGAGAACTGAAAGGCAAGAAAGTTTTAAGATTTGGGGGAGTGCTATGTTTGTGGGGAGAAGTTTTTCTCCCTTTCTAAAATCAAGAGAAGGGGGTGGTCTAGGAGAATTACTTGTGGAGTTTAGAATTGCCAACAGGAACAAGAGAGTAGTATTTAATTGAGACGCCTGCTTAGCCAGTAGATATGCTGACCTACCTACCCCATCAGTACCTGACTAAGCAAAGAAACAACACAGTGGGGAGGGGGCCAGGATTGCCCCAGTCGCTCCCCAGAGTTCCAGTCTCTGGCATGTGTCTGTTGGTCCTGTAGCAGAGGGAGATGAGATTGGGGTGTGGTTGAGCAGCTTGGGAGAAAAGAGTGTGTGTTTTAAAGTAATATGGTTTAAATGCCACCAGCTGAGGGTCAGCCCCAAGAGGTAATCAAAAGATTACTTTTCCTATAGGTTCTTTATGACAAGAAACATTATAAGACTTAGGTTCCATTAATAAAGTATTTAGTCAGTTTGGATAATATTTTAAAGTTACATAATGTGTTTCTTAAAAAAAGAAAAAATATTAAAACACAAGTAATTAGTCCAAAAGAAGTCATGTTAATAATATCTTCTCAAGAAATTGGAGCTATTAGATATTAATATCCAAACCAGCTTTTTCCAGATGGCAGCCAGTATACATAAGTCCTTAGTTATAAACAGGGTGAACATTTATGTGTATCTGGTATGTTGTCATCACTTCCTAGGAATGATTCCCAGGACGACTGGGGGAATCTGAGCAGTGTTTTCACTCCAAAGGAAGTATTAGTGAGTAAGAGGTCATCTTTAATAGCGTAGGACTAGCTTTACTCTTCCTGCTGGCAATAAGTACAAATGAAAAAGGTTCTCTAGTGCTAGTGAGAATACTTACTTGGTTCAAAACATCTTTAATTGATTAAATGACCCTTTTTTTCAGACTATGTCAAAGGAGTCATGTTTATTGTCTGAGTTGGTCATAACAGCGTCATGTAAATTTTTTGTGAGGGAGGAGCAGTTTTATCATTCAGCCATAGGAAAAAATCATGATCATATTTAGATGGTAGAAATGAAGTACTGTAATAACTTACAAGAAATTATAAGGACCATGCATGTTAAGAGAGTGGCACATTGTTGAACAGAAAATTTAAGAGATTAGTAGGCTTTTTGAGAAACATTATATTCAAATGAAAGCAAATGTTGTATTTGCTTATGTTTCATTTGTATTTTTCTGGTTATTTTTCACTGAATGTTTGACATGATTGTAAAGGTTTGATCCAACTACACATTCCTTTCTAATAACTGTATATTGTTTTAAAGTTATGAACTAGAGACATAGAAAATGTTATTTTTAATAACTTTGAAGTAAATCTTAAAGTTTTAAAAATATACGTATTGCATGAATCTTGTAGTTCTTTGCTTTTATGTTTAAATTTACATATTCCTTTTAAAACAACATTTCTTTTTTTTCTGATTTGTTTTATAGGAAATGCCACAATCAGTTTCTGCAATCACATTACGAAGCACAGATGTGAATAATATGAAGCCTAATGCACTGAGAAACGAAATCTCAACAGAGGAACTTGGTAAGGTTTCCCAATATAAAATCATCACTAAAGGAACACTAAATAAAGAAGAGGCAGTGAGCTGCTCTGAGAGTTGTTCTAGTGCCCAAGGCGAGTCCTCCCACAGTGAGTCTCAAGGATCTCATCCTGGGTCCAGCTCTGATCCTTCCAACTCTGAAACTTTGCATACAAGGGCAGCTGATTCAGTTCTACAAGGTTCTGAAGAAAACAAAGTCAAGAGGACATCCTGCATGTATGGGGCAAACTGCTACAGGTAAAATGAAATTATAGGTAGCATATAATTCCATTATTTCAATAGCATGTAGCTATGTAGATATATGTTAATATGTATTTAAAACCTAATAAAACACATGGGCCTAAAGGTTAGGAGCTTTTTCATCTATCTGCTTGGTTTGTACTTTCCAAGTGTGCTTTCCTGCAAATCCTGCAACTCCTACTAGAGGATTTTAAAAATAAAATTTTTCATATGTGGACATGCTGGTTATTGCAAGGATCTGAACTGGAGAATCCAGACTTGAAAAATGAATCACTCAAACCCAAATACCTGCTTATTTAGTGTCTTATTTAGAGATTAGAAAGATGGCTTCATAAATAGTTGTTGTATACATTGTAACTATCAAGAGAATTTTAGGTTGTGTTTAGGCATCTTTTTATACTTGTGCATTTTCCTCTGTATTTTTCTAATGGTGCTTTGAATCACCAGGATGCCCTCTAAAACAACTGAATGTATATTTCCTGGGTTGATTGGTTACTTATATACTTACCTCATTTGATTATATTATACTATATTTTCTAATTTCATATTTTGTAAATTCAAATGATTACCCCTTAGTTTTAGGCTATAGCTTCATCTACACTGTTTATACTAGAGTGTTTGTAATTACGCGGTCCTCTTTCAGAAGTGGTTCTTTGCCATTCTAACTTGTGAAACCAGATATCTTACCCATACATTCCAGTAGAGTTTGCTGTCTTCTATGCAATAGTGTATTTATATCACATATTCTCTTAATTTCACATTCATATCATCTCTCTTTAAAATGCTTTGCCATTTTAGCACTTGAATAACGATACTTTTCAATTTCAACAGTTAGAATTTATGCATTTATTTACAATTCTGTCAATTTTAAAATGGCCTTGGTTCCACATGTGGAACTCAATTTATAAACTTGTAGAATAGAAGTATGTAAATTTTCTATGACTTTGGAGTTTTGAAAAATCCTGTTTGGTATTTGTATTAGTTCACTAGGGCTGCCATAATACCACAGACTGGGTGGCTTGAACAACAGAAAGTTATTTCTTCATGATTCTGGAGTCTGGAAGTCCAAGATCAAGGTGTTGGCGGTTTAGTTTCTTCTGAGCCTCTCTCCTTGGTTTGCAGAAAGCCTCCTTTTCATAGTGACCTTACATGGCCTTTTCTCTGTACATGCACATTTCTGACATCTCTTGCTCATAAGGATACCAGTCATATTGGATTAAGGCCCTGCCCTTATGCCCTTATTTAATTTGAAATATTTCTTTAAAGGTCCTGTCTCCAAATATATTCACATTAGGGGTTACGGCTTCAACATATGAATTTGGGGCTGGGGTGGGGGAGACATAATTCAGCACATAACAATGTTCAACACTGGCATTTGCTTTTGTTAAAGGTGATTGAATCCTTTATCAAGATACCAATAAATTTATTCATATTTGATGACGAACTTGTTAGTTTGAACCAGTCATAGCTTATGAGTAATTATTTTAATTTCTCCATAATTTTGATATGCATAATTAATACCTAATAGAAATCTTGAAAACAATATCTATTTGTAACAAAGGGAATAAAGCAGCATATATTGAGTTCTTGTTATATATGTGTACGTCGTAGTTATTTAAATGTACCTCTTCTCCAGCCTCAATGCCACACTTTATTTCATGCCACAGTCTCTCTGGGATGAGTGAATAATCTGAGTCTCCGCTTTCCCTCAGGTTCATATTCCTCCTTGTTGCCTTAGTGATTTGGCTAAGGAAATAAAGATGAAGATGAAGGGAGAAAAGGTCTGACAGGGTTTACTTTCCTATACAGAATCTTTTAGCTGCTGCAGCCTGGGTTTCTTAGGATAGCCCAGAAGACCTCCCACTAGCTCTCTGGATGCTCCATGCTGTTCTGTGTCCTCTGGAAATGCTGTTCCCGTCTGCTTGCTCCTGTCCTGCTTACAGATCTTGCTTGCCGTCAAGTCCTTTCTGAGCCCTTTTCTGACATGCCCCTTTTCCCCAAGTGCTCATCCCTATTTTATGCAAAATTTTTCCTCATACAATTTGTAATATTTGACTTTAGATTTAATACTTAATATTTAACCATTGATTTCTAATTATTTATTTACATGTTTTGTCACTCTTCTTAACCTAGGAATTATTTTTTCTCACGGTATATTTGTAACCCTCACAGGAAGAATCCTGTCCATTTTCAACATTTCAGTCACCCTGGTGATAGTGATTATGGAGATGTACAGGTCATGTGTCAAGATGAGGCTGATGACCGGCCTGAATGTCCTTATGGAGAATCTTGTTACAGGTGTGTAAATCTGAAACATTTAGTTATGCTTCCTGTTCCCCTTAATCTCTGTTATTTATTCACTTATACCTGCAGTTTCTCATCTGAAGCCTCTAACTTTTAGTTTTTAAACTTCCATAGAAAATAGGTTTTTCATTTTACTAATAGGTAGGATTATACTATTTCTTTTAGATAATTCTAAATTGGAGTTATTAACCTTATAAATGCCTGAAATTTTTATCATTTCTAACTTTCTAAAATGCAAATGATATAATTTAAAAGCTGTCGATGCTATCCCATGGTACACTCTATCCAGACACCTTAGTGTGACACATATCAATTCAGGATGTTACCTTTGCCTCCCTTAACTCCACCATACTTGCCAACACATGAAACTGGATCCTATAAGAAAGGTAAAGGTACCTCCTCTCTCTCCTTCTGTAGCATCCTGTACCCCTGTGTATCAAGCAGAGTAGAATTTATCTCAGGAGATTGTGTTTGTTTCTTTATTGGAATGTCTCCTCTTCCAGACTGGAAGTTTCTTGACAGCAAGGACTCTTTTATCCTTGTATCTGCAACTTTATTTAATTAATGAATGAATTTGAAATAGATCATCCTATCAAATAAAGAAGTAGTGATTCCAGTCTTAGAGAGCTTTAATTCCAGACAGCCATATTTCTGATAATGTTGGAATACAGGTTACTGAGCCTAGTGGACTTTTTGAAGTTATTGCTATTTCTATAATTGTGATTTTTAATAAGAAGGCAGAATAAGCTTTTGAGGCTAGAAAGGAAAATAAAAAAGCTTATGCCTTATCATTTGAAAAATATTCTATTCCAGCTGAGAACGTCATGCAGAAAAAAATAAGATATTTTCATTAGCTGTGTCAATAAACTTGAACATTTAGGGGAAATGAATAAATTCCTAGAAAATACAACTTTTAGAAACAGATACAAGAAAAAGAAAGGAATAATCCTATAACAGTAGAAAAACTGAATACATAATTAAAAGCCTTCCACTAAAGAAATTCTGTTTGGTGTTAATTGTACCAAACATTTAAAGAAAAAACACTCAATTTTTATACAAACTATTAAAAAAAAAAGTAAAAAAGGTTATATTCTTCAACTTATTTTAAAAAATGGCAAACTTCATTCATTTATGATAACATTTCAAAGTAGGAATAGAAGGAAACTTTTTTAATATTATGAAGAATATCTGCAAAAAGCTTATAGCAAATGTCATATATACTTTAGAAGTGAGATATTAAAATTTTTCTTTCTGATACCAGAAATGAGACAGTAAAATCTGTCTTACAGTTGCTATTTTTACCGTTTCCCAAACAGTGCAATAATCTTACATCAGTTTAAGTCCATTTCCTCTTCCACCTTTTTAATTTTATTTTAACAATCATCATATATTTGTACCTCTATACATGCTAACTTATAAGGCATTGTTATTAATTTCTTGAATGTTAAGCATCATCACTCTTTTACATTTACTGGCATATTTATCACTTTGGGTGCCCTTCATTTTTTCCTGAAGTTTCATCCTTTCATTTGGTATCACTTTCTTTTAGTCTTAACTTCTTTTAGTATTTCATGTAGTGAAAATCTGCTGGAAAGGAATTCTTTCAGCTTTTGTGTGTCTGAAAATGGCCTTATTTGGTTTGTTTTTTTGGAGGATGTTTTTACTCGGTATAGAATTTTAGCTTGGCAAGTTTTGTTTCCTTTCATCTCTTAAACGATGTCTTTCTGTCCGGCTGGCATCGCTCAGCAACTGAGCACTGACCTATGATTCAGGAGATCCTGGTTCAATTCCCGGTCAGGGCACATGCCTGGGTTGCAGGCTGGATCCCCAGCAGGGGCTTGCAGGAGGCAGCCACTCAATGACTGTCTCATCACTGATGTTTCTATTTCCCTCTCTCCCTCTCCCTTCCTCTCTCTGAAATCAATAAACATATTTTTTAAAAAAGATGTCTTTCTAGTGACTCTTGCATTCATAGTTTATGTCAAAAGTACATATTGTGGCTCTTTTGTAATTAATGTGCCTTTTCTCTGGCCACTTTTAAGATTATTATTATTGCTTTTACGTTCAGCAGTTTATATGTGCTGGGTATATTTTTCTTTGTATTCATCCTGTTTTGGGTTCACCAAGCCCTTTTGCAGGTTGATACCTTGTTTGGGGAGATTGCTTTGCTGTTATCTCATTAGACATTGCTTCTGCCCCATCGTGTGTCTTCTCTCCTCCTTCTACTCCAATTAAATATATATCACATTTTCGACATTTATTAATCTTTTCTTCTCTGGTGTCTAGTCTGCTGTTAAACTTATCTAAAGAGTTGATAATTTCAGAAACTGTATTTTTCAATTCAGAATATCCATGATTCATTTTTTATAGTTTCTAATTTTGTTGAAATTATCCATCTTTTCACTCATATTTGCCATTTTTTCACTCTTTTCAAAACATATTCTTTGACATATTTTTCTTAGGTATTTTAAAATTTGTATATGCTAACCAACATTTCTGGATTAGTTTCTTTTGTTTTGGTTATTGGTTATATTTTTCTGCCTCTTCATGTCTAGGTAATTGCTTCTTGGAATACTAACTTAGTTTATAAAAAGAGGTTGTAGATGTTAGCTTCCATTAGTGAGGGTATTCTCTTTTTTTGACAGACAGGAGCTGGTCATCTCTGCTTGGTCAGAGATCTAGATAGATAATAGCTAGGTGGACATTTTAATGAAACTCAGTCTGCCTTTGGAAAAATTAGCCTTTTTCCTTTTATTCCTAAACTGTCCTGAAAATTCCATGAGACCATGGAAAGCTCTACTAGTCTCTCTTTTTTCAAATAGTGTGCCTCCACTTGGCCAAATCTTAGCCTTAGCCCACAAAGGAAGAAAAGAGCCAGTGATTTTCAGCTCTCCTAAGAAAGGCTTTTTCCTCCATGGAATTTTAGATAATCTAAAATTTTCACACTCCCACAATCCTCTCATAAAAATTATTTTTATATATCAGGTTTTTTTCTAGTTATTAAAACAAGAATATTGGTCTGCCATGATGTCCTACACTTTCCCAGAAGCAAAATCTGAAAATGCAAATCATAAAATAACCCACAAAAATCAGTCAGAAATTAATATATTCAGAAAGATAAAAATACATATATACACTGAATGGGGCAAAAGTAGGTTTACAGGTGTTCACTCTCTCCCCCTCCACCCACCCGCCCTCNTCTCTTCCCCTCCACTCACCCGCCCTCCTCCATCCCTCTGACATTCGTTAGTCTCATCTATGCTTCCA